GACTGGCTCTCACTAAGTTGCCAAGACTGGCCTTGATTTTGTTCCTTGTGCCTCAGCCTCCTAGGTAGTTGGGATTATAGACATGCAGCACTGCAACCAGCTTTGTCAAAACGTATTTGAAGAAAGTCTGGCTTTACACAGGTAGTTGAAGGCAGGGGGAATAACTAGTTATTCTTTGATACTTCATCAAAAGTGGTAGTTTCTCAAAGGTTAGTAGCAGTATGGAAAACTAATCATTTTAACTGCTTTGCCAAAGGTATTCGTAAATGAAATTGGCTGTTTTGTTTTGTTTGTAACCATATCACATGAGGAAAAGGCAAAGGAGCCAGAGGAGAAAGGGCTTGAAAAGACCTGGCAGTCATTCTGATTTTTGAAGGTTTAGAAGGGAAAGGTGATGGGTCCCACCTGCAGAACATGAAGCAATGCACAGAATTACATGGTCGAATTTTGCCTTCACATTGTAAAGAGCTTCTTTTCATCTCTGGGCCAAAAGTGAGTTGAGCCGCAAGTGGCCAAGAAATTTGTAGGCTGTGCGTGATGATGCACACCTGTAATCCCAGCACTCAAGAGGCTGAGGCAGGAGGATCATAAGTTAGTTCGAGGCCGGCCTGGACTATCTCAGAAAACTAAGAGCAAGGAAGAAACTTATGGGGTGAGGTTGAACTAAACCCCTAAGGTTCCCTAGAAGCCCCCTGGATATGGCGGAGGAACTTGATTGAGTACTCCTGCACATTATTATCTGCTGACTTTTAAAAGTGCCAAGACTGTGGAAATTGGCCTAATTTTTATCCCTCTAATGTTTGGAGTTATATATCATTGCAGAGTCCCCCATTTGGGAGTTTAAAGAAGAGATGGTAACTCCAGACCCACTTGCATAGGGAGCCATAGGTCTTGTCCATCAGCCAGGGTGGCAGGGACTAGACTCTGCAGCGGCTCAGAGAAGAGGGCAGAGGGGAGGCAGCTGAGTATTCTACAGGAAGCTGAAGGTTTTGGCACTTTGATTCGATTACTTTTTCTCTTCAAGTTTCTGGTCTTCCCTACTCAGGAAGCGCCTGTCCCTCACATGATCTGATTCCTTAACAGAAGGTGGCACTGCTGTCCTAGAAAGAGTCAGACTCTTAAAGTAACAAGCACTCTTGCAGCTCCTGTCTTCAGGGAAGGGCCTCCTGGTGGATCAAGTGTTTCCTCCATTTGTTTTCCCTTGGCACATTGAGTGTCCCTCTTTGCCACTGTCCTCTGTCCATGTTTTACCTTAGTTGCCCTGGAACGTTTTCCCTTGTTTATTTTTTTTCTCCACTCCTACAGTTCCTGTGGATGGAGGTATTTCCACTCACTGACTGTCCCTGACACACCCTTCCTTTGAAAACAAGCATAAGGATTGATGACTTGGAGCAAGAAAGATGGAGCAGCTTGTTGCCAGCTGGCTGGGAGGTACTGGGATTGCCGGCTCCCTGAGGTCTTGTATTCCAGGCTCTGATCTAGGAAAAGAATCCTCCTGGCCCAAGGAACAAGCATCTGTAAAAACAAGAGTGGGTCAAGGAGGTAACATAGTTGGGGGGAAAATTGTTCTGGCATTTTTAGGTCCAGGCTCTGATCTAGGAAAAGAATCCTCCTGGCCCAAGGAACAAGCTGTAAAAACAAGAGTGGGTCAAGGAGGTAACATAGTTGGGGGGAAAATTGTTCTGGCATTTTTTTAAAGGCATGCATGACCCTCATTAAAGTAAAGAAAGCGTTTTTTGTTTTTTTAATTCTTGGAGAACAGGCATGGTGGCTCACACCTGTGATCCCAGCTTCAAGAGGCTAAGGCAGGAGACAGATCAAAAGTTTGAGCCCAGCCCAACTTAGGAAGACCCTGTCTCACAATTTTAAAAAATAGGGGGAGGACTAAGGATGTAGCTCTGTGGTAGAGCACTTGGCTTGCCTGCCTAAAGCCCTGGGTTTAATCCCCACTATTTTGGAGCAGGGGATTCTTATAGGCCAAAAGGACTACAAAAATGTGGAGTTTACAACTTCAGGCTTGGCTCGTGCCCTGTGGACAGAAGACTTGGGTAGCACCCTGGCTTGGCTTCCACCTATATAACCTACAGTCCGCTCCACCCCATCTGTGAAGTCAGGGTTGTGATACCTACTTTGCAGGGTAGCTGAGACAGCGATGTGAGATAATGAATGTGAAAGTTCTTCCCAGGGGAAATGAGCTAGTGAGCAATGAGTGGCCTTTTCAGCATAGCTGTATCTAATTATATGCCCTCATCCTGCAGGTCAGAAGTTACCTCATTTTCTCGGCATACCACCTGTGGTATCACTGTAGTTTTTCAGTGTCCTTGTGCCAGAGAAATACCTAACAGTCCTGTTTCATAAGTAATTAGCTCCAAACACTTACCATTACTAGCCTACCAATTCAGTCACTTCTTGAAAAAATACATTCATTCGTGTGGTACCTGATAGATGTCATACAATGCTGCATCTCCTTTGAAATTTTTGTATATTGTGTATCACCTTTGTGAAATTTGCTGTGGTCCCCTGAGGTACCTTGTTGCAATTTGGGAACTGCAATGGTAGATCACTTTAAGGTTGGGCCACGGTGTGATTTAAGTCCTCACATACCCTCTCCTAAGGCTCATCTCTGCTCAGTGATTAGTTCTCTGCCTCTGGTGGCTGTCCATACCTACCCTGAAGAAGGTCAGGTTTCTTAAACACTTGCATTATCAACTCAGTCTAGATGAAGGATTTGTGTTAGGCAGAGCTTCACTACTCAAACTTCCATACTCCCACCCCGGTACCAGGGATCAAACTCAGGATCTTGTGCTTGCGAGGCAGGTGTGGAACCACTGAGCTAAATCACTGGCCCTGTGTTAGGCAGATCTGACTCAGTAATTCCCTCCTCCTTCTCTATTCTCAAGTCCTCATTATTTTATCTTTTGAAGTGTCAAGATTCAGAGATCTAGAAACTGAAAACTGCCTAAGGAACTTCTTTAAAGAATTTGTTGTTCACCACTGGCTTTGGAACTTTCAGGAACTTGCCAGCAATTGTATGTGGGCGGCACTGCAAGTTGTTATCTTGTATTCTCTTTACTAATCCCACAAGTAAAGACTGAAATTGTGCCAGCTCCTGCAGGGTCTGCAGAGCAGTTTTCCTGCTTGGACTCTGGTATGCTCATTGTACCTCCTAGCTCTGAAATTCAAAGGAAGATGCTGGAATTTTCATGAACAAGTAGCATTGGGTTCTAGTCATCCCAAAATGAAAGATTTAAGAGTGTGGGTGGGGTGAGATGGGATGGGATAGGAGATGTGGGTGTTTTGCACCATCGGAAACAGATCATTTGTGTGCCTTTGTTGATGCATATCTGGACAGTCCAGAGAACTAAGGGTTACTTTTCAGGGTAGAGAGCAAAAGTTAACTCTTAGAGTTTAAGTTTGGATAGGGTCTCACTGAGCTGCTAAATTTCCCAGATTGGGCTTGAGCTCAATGATTCTCCTATCTCAGCCTCTCAGAGTGCAGGTTTTACAGGTATGTGCCACCAGGCTCGGTTCATTCTTCCATCTTTCTATGTTTGACCAATAATAGCATATATATTTTGCATCCATTTTCGTCTCCATGTTCAATGTTGCTAGTCAGTAATATTAATATTTTTACTGGGAGTGTTAAATTTTTGAAATATTTCAAATGTGGAATGAAATTTTTTTTTTATAAAAAATTTCAGAACCAGGTGTAGTTACACATACCTGTAATCCCAGCACTCCGGAAGCTGAGACAGGAGGATCACTGTGAGTTCAAGGCCAGCCTGGGCTACACTGAAAGACCCTGTCTCAAAAAGAAAAACCTCATTGAGATCCAATTCTTGTTCTGATAATAATGCCAACATTAGCACTAGGCTTTTTCACATCATTTTCCTCCAACTCATAATTTTCTTCAGCTACACATATTAGGTGCAGATTAGTACATTACACTAGCCAAACCTGAATACCTTTTTATGGTTGTTATTGAGTAAAATACTATGCATGCAGTTTCTGTCCAGTGAGATTCTGTGTTAGACCAGTAACCTGCTGTGTTCCTGTCTGAGGAGAAGAAATAACCCATCCTTTAAAGCTCCAGCTCTCATTGAAAATCCCTGTGGGCATTCACACAGGAAGAGCAGAATACTTAAATAAGTTTAGGATATTTTTCTTCTGTGAGTCCCCGGAAGTGTCTAGGCTGAGGATAGGGTGGCAGTACCCACCATTTGTGTGATTAAGTCTTCAGGACCAGCCCTTCCGCTCCAGTCCACTCAAATGTTAGTCACTGGGGCACCATGGATTTGGGAGTGGTTTCCCTGGTCCTCATAGCTGGAAGGTGGTAAATCTGGCCAGCAAGAGTCATTCCTAGATAGTATTTTTTTCTCTTTGAATTTTGATATTAGCTTATCCCTGGTTTAACTAGCTACTTTACAGAAACTGTTGCTGTTTACAGCCTCTTGTCTTAAGGGAGGAGGTGTTACTGGTCTTTGGGGTCACAGAGGCTTCAGTTTGGATTTTTTTTGGTTTTTTGAGACAGGGTCTCACTATGTAGTTCAGGCTGACTTCTAACTCACTATATAGTCAAGGCTGGCCTCAGTTTTCAGCAGTCCTCCTGCCTCAGCCTCCTGAGTGGTGGAATTACAGGCATGTGCCACCGCACCTGGCTAGTTTAAATTTCAGCAAACTTCTTTATCATGCTTTACTTCAGTTTACTTGTCTGTAAAAGAGACATAATACCGTCTGCCTTGCAGGGATATTATGAGACTCAAATAATGAATGTTAGTTGTTAATGTGTTCTGTTTCCAGTGTGGGAGGAAGGCTCGGCCCCTCCATCTTGGTTTATGTCCCATCTACTCCTCCTGTATGTTCTTTCTCCCATGCCCCATGATCCTTTGAGTGCTGGCTAGAGAAAAACATTACAGCATGACTCAGCTAGGACAAAGAAGGAAATGACCCTTGACCACTGCAGTTCTGTGAACCACCTATTCTCACTGGAAATTGTAATATGACCTTTGAACTGTTGAGAATGCCCAAGCCTTCCTAGCATCTGACACTTACCTGGTCTCAGCATAATGAATGGCCTTCTTCAGGCTTTTCCTCAACACACCAGGGCTCTCCTTGAAGAATTTCTAGAAGTCCACAGGGTGGACATGCTCAGGAGAACCCATCCCAGGCTGGGTAGTGACCTGATCTGAGCAGCAGAAAGAACAGACAAAGTACAGGCCACAGAAGTCACTCCTGTTGTCCACAGTGAAAGAAATCCAAGCCACATTCTTTGTCTGCCACCTCCCAAAGAAGGCCTTGCTAAATCTTAAACTCAACTTTTCAATAGAAGCACCGTAATAGCTTCAAGTTGTGATCTCTTGCAAAGGGGAAGAACAGCCATTATTCTCTCCCACCCTTCTCTTGGCTCTACCACACTGCCAGAGGGGCCTTCTTGACCGCACTTTCTCCAAGTAAACTGAAGTTGAGACTTCCAGAAGCCCCACCCACTCCCCCATGGTTCTGGAGCTAAGAAGGAACCACTGCATGCCGGGTCTGCCCTCCTATGTGCCACGCAAGCCCCAACATACCTCTTTGCTCTCAGGGCCAGATGCCGTAGATTGCTCACCAAGGTGTGGCAAGGCTCCTCCTTCCCCAGCTGGGACTCATCTTTTTGAAATTATATGATGCGGTAAACTGTCTGTCCTTGGAGATCTAGTACTTCCTCTCTTCATTCTGCTTTAATCTGTGTTCTTTGAAAGCCTGCTGTGTGATTTCTGAGTTTGACAGGATTTTGTTCCTTTGTACTCCTAACGTTTTGTTTCATTTTTTGTTTTTTGAAACTGTATCGCTACATAGTCCAGGCTGGCCTCCTACACAGCACTCCTCCTGCCTCAGCCTCACAAATGCTATACTCCTAACTTCAGAGTTAGGTAGATTTTTTTCCCCAGCCATGCCTAAAGATGCTGGCTTTCCTTCTAACACTAAGGATAGTGAATTCCCCTTCCTTTCCAATATGTAGATGATGATCAGTTGCTAGCTTTCAAGTATCTCAGATACATTTGGCCTGATGGTGCTAACCTAATACCTCTGGATGGTACTGACCCTCTCTGATGGGATTATGCTTTTATAATTTGGTGACCGTGTAGAGCTGTGTTTCACAGACTTTGCCATTTTCAGGTCATAGATCTATCTCCTTTATCCTTTACTGACTCTTTCAAGGCCTTAGCATCACTGCTGTTGTGGGAACCCTTGAAGGAAATGAAGTGTGGCTGAGCCCCGCCACCAGGAATTTGACTCCTATCTTGGTATAGTGCATGCTCTGTACCCAGATACAACCACCCTGAAACTCCAGAGATTCGGAGATGGTAAAATGGCCCTGACCATCCTCCATAACTATCAAGAAACGAAAAATCCTTGGTGCCTTGATTCAAATGTAGATGAAACTTGGGACAGTCAGATAACAAAAGTCTCCCCTTTGGGAAGGGCTCTGGGCCAGGCTTTTGCTTTTATGTTGAAGTCTGGTTGGTTGCAACACATTTCCAGTGGCAGAACATTCTCAGTCAGGCTGAACCTTATTGACTTATTTTAACCAAACTTTACACGTAAAAAGAGGCCATTTTCTTCCCCCCTCTCTGCCTTTTCGTTCATCCACAGCACCAATCCTAGAGCTGGCTTACTTTGTCTTGGCAGACTCCTGTTTAACCCGTCCTGTAGAAGCTGAGCCTTCCTGTCGGTAGGCTGTCTGGGAGCAAAGGCAATTCCAGTGCATCCAGAGCAGCCCCACCAACTTCCGCCCATTTTTCTGATAAGTGCAGTGTTTCCATCCCTGGGCAGGCAGTGTGCCCGTGGCAGTGGCCCAGGCCTGTCCCACAGGATACAACTGAAGGAAATGAGCTGGTGATGGGCTTTCTCCGGGGCCGAACTGCATGTGGGGGCAGCGATTGGACCAGGAGGCAGGGGATGTTCCCACACTGCACTGGGATCTGACTTCCCTGACAGCTCTCCCTCCACACCCTCAACCATGACTTGACACTCCTTCTGATATCCCCAAGAGGATTCCGGGGGCCGGCATGCCACTCAGGACATCCCAGTCCTGAAAGCAGCAGTATTGTCTGGTGGCTCAGAGCACATTTCCCTGGGGCTGTCATGAAAATGTAATATGAGGTCGTTGATGAAGAGGTTAAAATAGGGCCAGGGATTTGGCTCAGTGGTTCTGCTGCCTGCCTTGCAAGCGGAAGGGCCCAAGTTCGATCCCTGGTACCAAAAAAAAAAGGTTAGAATAATAACTAAAGTAGTTCCCCTACCTACCTTGAATTTTTGTATTTCATCCCCAGGGCTTGGCCAGTTGCCTGGAATATAATAAGTGCTCAGTAAATTGTTTGTGGAGTAAATAAGGTAACAATAATTCTTTTTTTGTGTGTGTATGTTTTGGTGGAGCCTGGCTGTACTGTGCTGACTGCTTTCAAACTCCACTGGTAGGTTCCAGTGATCCTCCCATTTTAGCCTTCTAAGTAGCTGGGATAACAGACATGTACCATCGCACCTGGCTTACTTCTGTCTTTTTGTCCAAGTTTTTAGGTGCATCATGCCCTGAAGTTTGAAAGAGGGTACAGAAGGAAAGGCAAAGAACTTGGTATTTTAAATTGTTCTTCATTTAGTATTGGTGCCCTCCCCACCTCCTCCGTATCCCAGCTCAGCCTTTTTATTGCAAGTCCATCCCCTTTGTTAGCTCATCTTCTGCTGCCTCTTTCTGGCTTCAGTGACCCTTCACACGCTGAAAATGACTGAAGTTAAACAGGATTGGAGAGTGGAGGTTAATTACTGCACTGACCATTTCATAGTTAGCTTTAACTATGAGACCCTGCAGAGGCGGGAGGAAAAACTCATGAGGGAAAGATAGAAACAGATTGATGTGAGCGTTTGAGTGCCTCCTCTGGCAGGCACTGACCATACCAGCCAGTAGACTGGACAGCACCAAGCAAGGCAGTGTACCTCCAGTGAACAGCAAGTCAAGGTTAGAGGGAGCTGAGCTCAGGGTCTGCACAGGGCTTACTAAGCAAAAGCAGGGAGCAGGCGTTGCAGACATCCGCTAAGGAGAAGGGAGGAAAGAACTCATGGCAGAGCCTTGGGGTCCTGTGAACATTGACTTTTTTTTTTTTGATACCAGGACCTTGCGCTTGCCAGGCAGGCGGCAGCACCACTGAGCTAAATCCCCTGCCCAACATTAACTTTTAAGTAGATACTCTGCTTGTTAAGTGAGATACCATTAGAACTTTACAATTGTGTGAGCTGTCACAGGTCTGAGAATATAAAATCTGGTTGGTATCAGTTCACCACATTACTGTATATTATCCAACCAAAAAAAAACGTGCTTGCACCTTGCCTTGGGCAAGACTGCCCTGTGCCTTGCTCAGAGTGCTTTCTCTGTACCTAAAAGCTAGGAAGAAAACATGACATGTAGATTGGCAGAATCCAAAACCCAGAGGCTATCAGTTTTGTGACTTAAGTTTGTCCCTGCAGCTTGTGCATGTTTTGTGGGCCTGGTTCCTGGAAGGATTGAAAGCATTGTTGGCCATAAATAAACCTCCATCCTCCCGGTGAAGACCTGCTACTTCTCAGGTCCCAGCTCACATGGCAGCTCCTCTAGCTTCGTGGATTCATATTGTTTCTACTTCCTTCCTGTGCCACTGTCAGCTTCATTGGTGGCTGGGCTTTTGTCTTCTCTGCAGGGGGACCCACATTTCAGGTTCTGTAATTTCTGAGAACAGTGGGGCCCCTGTCACTGACTTATAGGCCTAGCTAGTCCATTCGTACAAGTCCCCATCACAATTAAGAAACTGAATTGGCAGGTTCCTTGGAATGTTCTCCAGCCTGCCCAGCTGGAGTTAGTCTTGGGTAAAGGCAGGAGGAGAGGAGGTGGACAGAAGAGGAGTCCTTCCCTCCTTTGGTTTCTTTGACCAGCTCGGCTGTTCCTCCTCCCTCCTTTGTCTGCTCATTTGGCTCCTGTTGGAAAGCCATGAATTTGGGTTTTGTTTTTGTTTTGTTTTGTTTTATGCTCTAATTGGACTTGAACTAAGAAGCTAGAGAGGTTTACCAGTCTTTTTTCCTAGGGAGCTTTCCTTTCCCCGTGTGACACTCTCTTCTTCCTGGTAGGCCGGGTGAGATTCCCCAGCCTCTTCTGGCTGAGTGGTGTATATTGTTGCCGCCTTGTCTCAGAGCTGTGGATTCCATGGCTCCTGGCTGACGCAAATGACTGTCTGGTAAATAGATCTCAAGCTGAGCTCATTATTTTTACCAACTAAAAGCCAGAGGGATGGATCTATACAAGTCAAGACAGGTGTCGCCTGTGCATTTCAGAACATGGCTTTAGGGGAAGGAAAGAGGAACGGTGGTTTCTTGTTGCTCTCTACTGTGTCCTAACCCTCCTTCCCTCTTCCTGCCTGTTTAGGAGCATGATGAAACTACAAGAGCTGGTTTGTAACCCTTGATTTCTACACCATTATCTGTGTAATGCTAGGAGCCTTTCTTCCATCTCCTTACTTTTTCACTTTCTTTGCGTGCCATGGCTAGCTTCATGATGGCCATCATGGCTGCTGATTCATTTTCATACTGATTTCCTAGTATCTGGCATGACCTGTAGAAAGATGTCTGTCCAGGTCTTTGCTTTGGTGTAACATAGCTCCTGTTCCAGTTCTCTCCTCACTATTGATGGCAGAGGTCTTTATGGTGTCAGTGTTGACAGTCAAAAGAGGCTGCTTTCATTGAATAAAACTTGCTTATTGGGTGTCTGTGGCTCTGAGAAGCCTCTTTGGAGTATTTGCCACCTTCCTCTGTGGTCCTCTTGCCATCGAGCTTTCTTGGGTGTTGTTGAGTCTGAACCCATCTCCATTGAAGGCTGTGCCCCTCAACTTCCATTGTGGGGCAGGCATGGAGTGAGGCTGCTGTGGGAGAGTGAGCGTCTTAAGGAACAGGAGCGCTTGGGTTGTCATCCTCAGGAGCAGCTCGATGCAGTGACAGAGCCTGGGGCTCAGCTGACTTACACCTAGTTTGCTGTCTCAGGCAGAAGAGATATCTTTTAAAACAGGACAAGTGTGACCAGCAAGAAGCAGAGATTCTTGCTGGATTCTCCAGACCCTTCCAGCAAAGACTAGACTAGTTGGCAAATTGAAACCGACTGCCTAGTTTATCTGTGTGTGGGTGTGTGTGGATGTGCACACACATCCACACACAGGAAGATTAGAGTGAAGTGGGGAGCCAAGCCATAATGCAAAAGACTGATTTTCCCCCCATCATATCTCTTCTTCCAGAGACAAGAGTAGGCTGGGCATTTAGCTCAGTGGTTCCACCGCCTGCCTCATTAGCACAAGGACCTGAGTTCGATCCCTGGTACAAAAAACAGAGACAAGACTAAATAACCATAGCTAAGCCAGCCAGGCCCTTGTGAAATGCAGGAATCACCCTCTCCTCACCACATATATCCTGTCCCCTTCCATCTCCAGGGTCACAAAAGCTATAAGAAACCACAAGGAGACTTCTGGCCTTTTACTGTACCCAGGGAGCTCCTGAAGTGGCAAATATTTTTCCCTTTGAGGAGACATGGCATTTGAGACCAGCTTCCTGTCACTCTGGTACAGATACTAGATTAGTATGTCAGTAGACCTGAAGTCCCAACTACTCATGAGGTGGAGGCAGGAGGATCGCCATGTGTTCAAGCCCAGCCTAAACTACATAGCAAGACCCTGTCTCAAGAAACAAAACAAAAAGTTCAAGGCCAGAATGGTCAATTTAGCAAAACCCTGTCTCAAAGTAAAAAGTGCACACACTCACACTCTAGTGAATATAGAGCCTCCTCCCACAGCTGTGCATCTCTGCATGTCAAGGGGGCTTGAAGGAAACAGGGCCTTGGGGAACAGCAAATTTAGGACCCTTAGAGAGTCCATCAGTCAGTCTCCACTATTACCAGTCAGCTGGCTTCGGGGTGGGGGTATACTCAGCTGATGCTTTCCTGTAATTAGCACCCAGAAAGCTGTTGCTTAGAGGCAAAATGGGAGGGAATTTTTACAGTCCCATGTTTTGTTACTGACTGGCTCTCGAAGGAGTCACTGCTACAAAGAGATTGTTGTTGGCCCCCTAAGATACTGGCAGTCTTTATAGAACAGTTGATTTATGACTCTAACCTGAACTTGACTAGGCAGCCCTCCAGGCCTGCCTCCCGCCTCTTCTCTGCCTCAGCCCAGTGCAAGCCTCCACTTTGCCCACCTGATTGGCAGGGGTCAGATGGCTAAGAGGGACGGGTTGCTAAGCAGCCTGACTTCAACATTATGTCGTTGTAGTTTGAATGAATAGCTGCAGTGTTCACTAGAGATGGAGAATTTTGGCCTCAGAATTAGAAGGGGCTTTTTGGGGAAAGAGGCTAAGAGCTTCTAGTCTGGTTTTGGCAGGGGGCCATGGCTGTGATAACCCTGCTCACACTTTCCCTCTTGAGACGTGGTTTGGTGCAGCAGCATTTCTTCATGTAAGTGGAGCCCAGTGCACTGTGGCCGTTCTTCTGTGAAGATCTTGTTGCTGAGTTGTTACTGTCTTATCTCCTCGCTCACCAAGCAAAGGGAAAGGAAATAAGATCCGACAGCTCTTCTGCGAACCTAGCTTTCACAGTTCTGATCATTAGTTTGGAGTGGCACTTGAGATCTTAATGCATTCTAGAGAAGCAGGTATATGCTTGCCGTTTTACATTTAGAACATCCGAGGAAGGGGATGTAGAGAGAGTCGAGAATCAGGGAGAGCAGAAAGAAGCTGCCTTGAGCCGGGCACCTTTTCTGTCACTTCTCAGAGGTGTGCTGTATGCATGCTTTGCGGTTCCAAGCACTGTTCCTTTGTCCTTATGATAAAGTCTCCCCTTTTATGCTCAAACTAAACATAAGAAAGCTTTCTCAGGAACAGGTAATCTCATTTCGGTCGTGGGAGTCGGATGTTATACAGGGTCCCCTTGCTTCGTCTGTGTTGGCAGTTAAGGTGTGCTCTGGGGCACTGGCCAGTCACACTGCCTGGACCCAGGGGAACAGCAAACAAGGTACAGGTCACACAAGTGGCCAGGGCAGTGTCATTGCCACCTGATCCCCTTGGCCTCAGTTGGTACTGATACCTGCTGGAGGCCGTGGAAGAAAGCTGACAGGCTCCAGTATCCAGCTGCTGTGATAAGGGAGAGGGGGTAGGAGGCTGTAGGATCCCTGGAGCCCCCAAGACACTGTTCACCATGATTGTGCTGGCAGTGCTTTTCCCTCTTCCCCTTTCATAAAACCCCCAGGCATCTCAGTGAAGAGAGTATCCATGGCTCGGGAGCCGGATCTTACCTCTGTGTGTTTCTTTCTCTTTGACAGGATAATGCAGAAGTAGAGAAGCGAGATCCCCAGGAGTTAGTGGGTAAGTACCCTGGGAGCCAGGGTCATACTTCTGAGCCTGAGCCAGCTGCCTCAGGCCGCACCAGCCTCTGTGCTTGGGCTTCTCTTTGCTGTGTGTCCTTTCTTCATACCTCTTGGGACCTCTGGCATTTCCTAGGGTGACTGAATGAGACCCTAAGGAACAGTTTTGTTTTGTTTTGTTTTTTTAATATCGGATTCATGGTACATCTTCTTGGGCTTTGTTCCTTTGCCAATGTTGTCAGGAGGGAGTTGAGGGCCCCCGTCAGCTGGGAACTCAGCTTGGCCTTTGTGTCTTCCCCTTGTGCCGTGGGCCAGTCTTCTGCTTTGTACCCTTCTCCCCCTGCACCAACATATTCGTGTTACTCGGGGAGTCAGTATGCAGCCTCTTTTGGTGCTTTTCTTTGTCCCCGGGCCAGAATATGCCTCATAGCCTTGGCTTCTGGGGCTCTTGGTGCCTTGGGAGGGGCAGGGCCATTTCTGGAAAACCATACACCATTTTTGCCCTTTGCCATTCCCAGCCTTCTGATCCTTTTACGGAGCCCCTTGGTTCCTTTCATTTGGCCATGGACTTTGTAACAACCCCATAGCCTGACCCGGGGGAAGTTCCCTCTCAATGAGCTCAGCCATTCCTCTCCTTGGGGGCCATTATTGCTTTCCTTGCCTGTTCCTCTGATCTTCAAAGTGGGTTCCACTCAGCCTTAGTTCTGCTTCCTTAGGACACCTGTAGAGCCCACTCCTGTGTGTCTGTGTTGGCATTCAGGACTTACCGATTCCAGTCCTGGGGGTTCAGAACCAGAGCCTTAGTAAGACGTGCTCCACTAGCATCCTTCCCTCCTGTCCTTTCTCTAAGTAAGACTCTTGCTGCAAGTAGCAGATGGGATCCCATTCTGATTTCCCCTAACTAAAGAGCTGGGAATCCTTCTTGTCTTCTAAGAAAAGATTGGGTAGAAACATGACAGCTCCAAGTAAGCTACATCCCTAGCAGAATTCTGCCTCTTTGGGTTCCACAATGGATGGAATTTGAGTATTTCAAATCCTGTAAAAGCTAGTGTTTTCCTAAAGTCCAGTGCCTGCTCTTTAGATAGTAACAACAGTAGCATGCAGCATTAGGCTTCAAAATCACATGTCTCTAGGGAGGTGGTGGCCTGTTCCTCCTGGGGATCCATGGGCCCAGAGGAGTCTTGGCCTCTGTTCCACCTGACCCTGCTGCTTATTACTGAGAAATGTCACAGCCAGGGACAGAGAGCAGCCTGTCCTTGAGCCAACACAGTGCTGCCCTCCACTGTCACTATCAGCATCAGACAAGTGATGGAACACATGTGGGCGTCAGCCAGCTCAGCCCTGACTTCTACAGGCAATTGGGCTCTTTTTCTCTCCGTTTTTTTTTTGAGACAGGGTTTCAATGTATAGTTCAGGCTGGCCTCAAACTCACGGTGATCCTCCTGCCTCAGCCTCCTGAGTGCTGGTATTACAGGTGTGTACCACCACACCCCACTTCTCCCCACATTTAAAAAGAAGCTGTGGGCCAGGGATTTAGCTTAGTGGTTCCGCTACCTGCCTTGCAAGCGCAAGGACCCGAGTTCAATCCCCGGTACCAAAAAAATAAATAAAAAGAAGCTGTGTTAGTTATTTTTCTCTCATTGGTGAGATAAAATACCCAGCACCCAAAGTTAAAGGGGGAAAGGTTTGTTTGGTTTACAGTCTGTACAGGTTTCAGTCCAAAATCGGCAGGCTCCAAGACAGGATGGCAGAGGGGCAACAGTTTGTGACAGTGGAACACAGCAAAAGCAACAAAAGGAGGCAGGAGGGGCATCACAAAGGAGAAATAGTTCATGGCACCCACATGGTAGCAAAAGCAACAAGAGAGATTTAACAGTGTTTTTCTGCTCCTTTTATCTTATTCAGACTAGGGGATTAGGGTGGTACCAAACCAGTCACTCGTGTGTAGTAATCTAGTAATCACACACCCGGAATCCCAGCATCACACTAGCTTCACCCACCTATGACAAGAGGCTTTAGGGAGACAGATACCTTAACAGAAGCTTTATTGAAACATAATTTCAAAGTGAGATTTGCCAATTTTAATGGTGCCATTTGATAAATTTTGACAGTGTATGTAGTTATGTTAGCTCCACCATGATCACAAGGCAGAATGCTTCCATCTCTCCAAAATTTTCCCCTTCCACCCCTCTTATGATATGGTTTCTTCCCTCAACCTCAGACAAGAGATCTACTCTCTTGAGAGTTTTGCCTTTTTTAGAATTTTATATAAATCGGAATCTGTTGACCCATTGGGCTGGATCATTCCCAGTTGTGCAGGCCACCATGTGTGTTATAGGATATTTAGTAGTATCATTGGCCTTTTCCCACTAAATGCCAGCACCAGTCTCTCTTCCTCTCCCAGATATGATAAAATGTTCCTTAGAGGGGCAAAATCACCCCAGTTGAGAACCACTAACACAAATGGAATCAGAGCTTTCCTGCCTGGCTTCCTTTAGTTGACATGATGCTTTTGAAATTCAACACCCATCATTTCTTTCTTTTTACTGCTAAGAGTATTTCATTGTAGGATGTGCCACAGTTTAGTCATCTACCCACACAGTACACAAATGCTTTGTTTTTGTTTTTGTTTTTGATGACAGGGTCTTCCTATGTAGTTCAGGCTGGCCTCAAATTCATGACAATTCTCTTGCCTCAGGCTCTCAAGTGCTGGGATTACAGGCGTGCACCGCCATCCCCAGCTAAGGGTCTTTTATACTGAGAACAGAGTGGGGGGCACAGAGAGATAATACAGCTCTCCATACTTGCTTTATCACCTCCAGCCATCTTCAACTCATCTTCTGTTTTTTGTGAAAAGGAAGCTAGGCTCCAGGCCTCTTGGGGCCAGCATCTACACGTTCTGTCCCTTCTTTGGGGCTGAGGAGAGGAGAGGGTATTGACTATGTGTTCAGTAAGGGGAAGAAAAGTTGCTTATCTCTAAAAGACAAAAATCTCTCTCTTAGAAATCCATTTTGCAATTCCAATTATGTCATTAATGTAGCACAGAGTAGCTTCCATTCATGATGCCAGGTTTGTCAGCCCCTCTGCCTGAACTCAACTCCTTTGTTAAGTAACTTCTCCAGGTATACCGACTTGTTCACTCAGCGTAGGAAGCATTTCCATACACATAGCCCTGCCTTTAAAAGAGTGAACAAGAGAGCAGAGAAGCCCACTTGTTGCCTCCAGCATGGTAGCTCCTGTCAGAGCCAACTGCCCTACAGGGGCTCCCCTGGTGTCCAACAGCTACCTGGAAAAGAGGCGCTGTTGTGGCATTCCAGATGGGTTCCCCAAGACACTCCTGAGCTGGAAACACTCCCGCCGCCTCCTGCTTGCAGCCCCTCAGCATCCTGCAGTCATCTGTACATGCCCCAGTCTTGCCTCACCTGCTCGGTCCCTGCGATCTTGGCCCATCAGACCAGCCACTCCTGCTCAGATTGCTACCTGGCAGCTGTGGATGTTTTCCGATATGGGCGTGCACAGGCAGCTCAGGGTGACTACAGGCTTCTCCAATCCTGAGTGCAGACCCAGGCAGCAGCCATAACACAGGCACTGCTTCTGAATGGCTGTGGACGCATTGCTCGACACATTTCCCAGGAAGATGGTTTGAGCCTCTGGCTGCTCTCTGTCAAGATCCACAAGACTAATGTCTTCTATATTGGATTCATTCTGGAACTTAGGAAAGAGAAACACTGGGAAATTGCTCTTGAAATTTGTGTATGAAAACAATACACTTTTTTTTCCAGAAAGCGTCCCTTTATTGTCAGTTACTAGGAATCCTGTTGTTTCTAGCCCACTTCTCAGAAGAGGTTTCCAGCCTCCTGCCTTACTCTCTACCATTTACGCCCTAAAGGGTGGTGAGGTTTCTATGGCAATGTGTCACACCCTGTTTTTCTGAAAGGCTTTCCTGGCAAATGCCAAAGGGCACTCTTTGTCTCCCTGTCACATGCACACTCTATCCAGCCCAGGGAACAAGTTAAGCCTCCTTGTTTATGTGTCCATTGCCTGCCAAGGCCATGCACTCTTTGTCTCCCTGTCACATGCACACATACTCTATCCAGCCCAGGGAACAAGTTAAGCCTCCTTGTTTATGTGTCCATTGCCTGCCAAGGCCTCCTTGCTTTTGTTGCTGATGCCCATGAAATATAAAGACTGGCTTTTCCCAGCTGCTTCCACTCTCAACTGGCCTCTGCAGGCTACTTGAGCTCGGGCCTAGAATTTCTGCCCGTGGCAAGCCTGGGAGGAAGAAGGAAGTCAGGTTGAGGCTTGGACTCCATCCCAAGCTGGGCGTCACCCTTGCTTGAGGAGTAAGGAGATAATAGGAAGGTGCTCACCAGAAGAAAGCATGTTGTCCCCTGGTTGACACTGCTTATAGGCTGCTTTGGTGACTCTTGATCTATGTTTCACTCAGACTCTGACCTCACCCACTCTCAGGCTGATACGCTGACCTTGAGGTGTATCCAGCAAGAGCCCACTGACAGTGGAAATCTGTGCACATAGTCCTGTTTTAAGACTGCCCCAGGCTTAACCTCCAGCCTTCGTGTGTTTGCAGGGCCTGCAGGCTGGGGCCATAGCAGCTGGATGAAGTTTGGAGGGCCCTGTCCTCTGCCCTGCTCAGAACTGTGTGTGTCACAATGGTAGTAAAACTAGGTGGAGAACAAAGCGGCTAAGAAAACATTAACCGGCACCGAGGGATACCCTTTGTTGTCTCAGCTACTTCGGAGGCTGAGAAGGTGGGATTGCTTGAGATCAGGAGTTCAGAGCCACCCTGGGCAACATAGTTAAGCCTCCATCTCAAAAAATTATTGTTGTTTTACATTAACGCTTGGGAAGAGAGACCAGAAAGACCCCAAAGCCAAACAGCCACTCAGGCCTAGGGACCCTCTAAGAAATGGGTTTGCCTGGGGCCTGGTGCACAGTAGGTGCCCAGTAAGTACTTGTTGGATATTATGGTGGGGGGGGGTTCATTCTTTCCCTTCCTCCTGCCCCACCCTGTTCTGCCCACTGTTTGCTCATTGTATAGTCCTTTTCATGAGCGAATGTTTCAAAGAGCACAGACGGAATCTTAACAACAAACAGCACATTGTCTGAGTGATCCAGAGCAGGACTGTGCGGTTACCAGGGTGGCCAGAGGCTACAGGGAAGGGAGTGGGGAGAGAGAGGGTGAGGCTTGGGTGGACCGAGGCAAATTTCTGAGGGAATTGTCCCTTGGGGATTGTGGTTCTTCACATCAGAATCAAGCCTTTTGTTCCAAAAATGAGGAGGGCCCCTTAAGAGAAAGTTGATTGGTTTATTTTTATAGAGACCCTCAGTAGGATTGGGGGTACAGCTCGGTGATAAGGGTGCTTGCCTGTATTTGCCAGGCTCTGGATTTTATTCCTAGCCCTCCAAAGACAAAACATTGAAAGACCCTAAACTAATAGCTGACAATAGTTTTTAAATATCTTTATGTAAAAGTAGTTTTGGACCCTCAGGACCTAGAACCTAGGGAACCCTGAACAGTTTCTCCCAATGCATAGGCAAGTGACCCAAGACAAGCAGGGTGGCGCCTGGCAACTCTAATTTTCCAGGTCCTTGGAGAGGTGTTGTAGGACTGTGCAGGGGGAGGCTGAAACCTGCTCATACTGTGAGCCACTTGTGCATGGCTCTTCCTAGCCCTGGGTTCCCTAATTTCACGTTGGTAGCTTGAAACTGACCACGACAGACTTTACACGTCGGGGATTAACAGATGCTTCTGTCATGGCTCCTCCCTTACAGCTGATTGCTAAAACATTTCCCAACACCTCGCCCAGCATAACCTTTGCTTCCAAGTTAACCTCTGGGATCTGTGCCCTCTCCCTGGATTTCTCCTCTTCCAGGTTGGCATATGGCTGATTCCTTGCTGTTTGACCTCAACTCAGGTGACAGTGTCTCCAAGAGGCCGCACCTGAATGACCTGTTTTACTGTTTTCGCAGCATTTATCTCTCCTTGAAAACATTTTATATGCTTGTGTTTTCGTGTCCATTTCTGTCCCATTTTAACCTCACATGAAGGATTGTTCTGTTTTTCTCAACAGCCTCCTTTTCTGAAAGGGTGCGTAACATGTCTCCTGATGAAATCAAGATCCCACCAGAACCTCCAGGCAGGTGTTCGAATCACTTACAGGTAAGCATAAGGCCCAACACCTATCATGTCACTTCATGCCAGACCACAAGCTCCAGCCTGTAAGGACAACTCCAGAGACCTGTCAGGAGGACAACCAGCCACTCCGACCTCAAGTTCAGAATATTCCTTCTTCGTAGATTCTCCTGAAGGTAGAAACATGGCACTTAAGCAAATAGTTTCATTCGCCTGAGGTAGCTCAACAGATTAGATTACCCGACCAAGTCAGCTAAGATAGGAGTTTGTCTCAAGTTGCCAAGCCTACTGTATAAGGCTTGAAGAGATAACATTGAGAAAAACAGTTTGTCATTCTCAGCTTCTCTCATCCCTGGTAATGAAGTCACATTACAAACTGCTCTGTGCTTCTTCAGTCCCATCTGGGCAGAAAGATTCAGCTCTCTGACCAGAACAGTGGACCGCCTCTTCTGATACATCCTGAGGGTTTGGCAGGGGACTTCCAGCCACATCTCCCGCCTCTTGCAGGTGACATGTGCCTAAATGTTTTCTTTCTGGAGAATCCGTATATTTAACAGCCACTGGGACTTGGGGGGAGCTACTGGTAGATCTAGAATTGTGCCACCACCTACCTCTTGTGTAAGGAGAGTCTCAGAGGTGGCTCTACCCTGGGGTCTTGGATATCTCAGGCCTCTTTGCTGGTGCTGGGCAGCTCTGATGCCATCAGCTACAAGCATCATCCCTGTGTGCTGGGCAGGACCCCCTTCCTGAGGACACCTGTGTCACTGGTTACAGTAGGTGAGCTTGGATCCCAGCCAGGTGGTTCTGTTGCCCATCGAAAGCCTGGCCAGGGATCTGTAGAGTTTTGGTGAGAAATGGGCCCTTGACCTTTGGTTGTGGCCCTGGAGGACTCCTACTGTGAAGCCCTGGGTAGTCATCGTTCTGCCCTGACACAGTGAGCTCAGTGGAAGAACACTTGTCTGGCCTGCATTGAGGCCTTGGGTTGCCTCGCAGGCACCAGAAAACATAGGAAGTTTTTGACAGCAGCTTTAAAAACCTTTACTCCTGCCTTTCTCCAGAAAAACACAGTCCTTCCCAGTCTCTTGAGATTCACAGTTCTGCTGAGGACTTATCCTTCTGTTGAAATTTAAAACCAATGTTCCACCCCTCCCTGGACATAAACTCAAATACCATAAGCTCTTCAGGTGATTTGAGAGCTGATTTATTTTTTGTCTTCTCCACGGCTTCCCTCCCTTGACCTTTTTGCTGCCCACTATACTGGCCATCTAAAGGAGATCAGGAAAAATCAGCACCAAAAATAAACATCTTGGTTTATCTTGCCTGTGCTCAGCTCCTTCAGAGGCTGGGTAGGAGAGGAAAACATGGCTTGTGTCGGGCTTCCCATGGCTCAGGCAGTCTTGGGTTCATGCCACAGACCAGAGTGGGGGTGAATGGGTTTCTGTTTCTCTTCGTAGGATAAGATCCAGAAGCTTTATGAAAGAAAGATAAAGGAAGGAATGGACATGAACTATATCATCCAAAGGAAGAAGGAATTTCGGAACCCCAGGTGAGTTTCTTATTAGCCTACAGATAAGTTGAGTCACTGGTGCTGGACAGAGCACCAGGAATCCCCATGGTGAGGAGAGGCCCATCCATGATCCCAGCTAAACCCAAAGGGGTCGTCACCAAGGCTTCTCCTTGTACTAAGTGCCTGCTCCACACAGTTAACTGCATTAACCAGTCAGTTTCACCAGTAAGATCCAGGCTAATCATATAAGCCAGTCGTAGAGTGGCAGCTGAAAGACCTGGGCAAGCGGGGAGGCCCGGCTGGGCTCTGCCGCTGCCTGCTCTAAAGCATACTTCTCAAGACCTCAGTTTCCCATTTGCATAATGAAGGAGATGACCAGACAGTGGCTGTAGTGCAGGTTCCTCTTCCAACCACAAAGTGGGTTTTGCATACAGGTGAGAGGTTTTAGATAGAACAGTATCTGGGTCTTCACTCTGGCGCTCATATGGGCTTGAGTGTGGTGGGTCCAACCCAGCCATGTAGACTGGAGGCCAGAGATGTCTGGGTTAGACACAGAATGCAGCCATCCCTTCTCCCCACCCCCATCCTGGCCCCAGTCACTGTTCCATCTCACCGGAGGGTGGAGAGCCAGAAGCGATGAGGTAAGGCCTCCCATCAGGAAGCTTGCTCGGAACAATTGAGCTGGGCTTCGTTTCATCTCTTCGTCTCAGCTCCAGGATCTGGTGGTTCTGGGGCTGTGTAGGGGTGTGGGATCAGTGCCTGCTCACTATTTGTGCTGTTCTCTTTTCAGCATCTATGAGAAGTTGATCCAATTCTGTGCCATTGATGAGCTAGGCACCAACTACCCAAAGGTGTGTCCCAAATGTGGAGGGTAGGGGGTGATGGGCTGCAGGACTCTGCTTGCTCCATTGTATTTGGCCTAGAGCCACTGCAAGGTACATGGAGCAGCACTACTGGTTGTAGACAACAAGCTCTATCTAGACCTGGCCCTGGGTCCCTGACCAGTTAAAACCCAGTGGGCTCCCTTCCCCTGTCCACTAGGCCCAGGTGTTGCTGACAAGTGCATCACTACTCCTGTGTCCCTGGCTGCGCTGTGGCTGGAGGCCTGGATGACAGCTGAGCCCCTGTGCCGTTAAGAGGGTGGGGCCAGGAAGGGCCACAGAAAGACTTAACTCCTTAGTCACCAGATGGTCTCTACTGACAGCAGCTTAATCTTTTCTTTTTCAGGATATGTTTGACCCCCATGGCTGGTCTGAGGACTCCTACTATGAAGCATTAGGTATTCTGTCTTCTGCCTACATGTCCATCTATCACTTCATCCACTCATCTGTCCTTTTATCATTTGTCTATCCAGTCAGTGGTCCAGGCAATACATTTCAGAGTTTCCTTTACACAGGCCACATCCGGAGGCTGGTGACTCAGTCTTAAGACAAACCCTATCCCTAACATACAAGACTTAAATATAGCAAAGAGGACAGCTCGTTGAATCAGTAATTCTAACACTAAGCAGTATTTTTTTTCTCATTGAGTTTATTGGTACTTTTTAGGTATACAGTACAGTTACATTCATCATTGGGATCTTGTACCTCTACATGACAGGTCTTGGTTCTCATTTTATCCCCTTATCCCTGCCCTCCCTTCACCCCCTCCTCCCTTCCCTATTTACAAATACTTTATTTCCATTTTTTCATTTTCTCGTGTCTTTTTTTTTCCTTTTCCCTTATTACCTTTCCCCTACCCTTCCCATTTCCCCTACACCTTTAGCCCTTTTCTTCCTGTTTCACATTGTCAATTATATCATTATATCATTATCTTATATACCATTATAGTTTTTCACACCAGAGAAACTATTCAGTATTTATACATGTCTGACTTATTTATTTCACTTAGGAGTATATCCTCAATATGTATCCATTTTCCTATGAATGACTAATTTCTCATTCTTTATGGCAGAGTAGTATTCCATTTTATAGAAAAACCACATCTTCTTTATACAGTCTCCAACTGATGGGCAAATGGGCTACTTCCAAGTTTTAGCTATTACAATCTCTGCCGCTATAAACATGGGTGCGCATATATCACTGTGGTAGGATTCTTTTAATTCTTTTGGAAAGATACCCAGCAGAGGGATAGCTGGGTCAAATGGAACCTCTAGTCCCGGCTCTTTGAGGTATCTCCATATTGATTTCCATAGTAGTTGCACCAGTCTGCACTCCCAGCAACAATGGAGAAGGAAGGGTTCCTTTCAACACTGAGCAGTATAAAAATGTGGTATAGTACTAAGAATTGTAGGGCTGGGGTAACTCAGTAGTACGGCCACCTGCCTCGTGAGCGCAAAGTCCTGAGTTCAATCCCTGGTACCAAAATAAAAGAGTTGTGGTACCAGAGAAAGGGGAACCTGTGACTGCAGGGTCACCTGACCTGGCCAACAGACTAGGAAGACCCTCCTGAGGAAACCATGTCAAAGTCCCAGGCAGAAAGTGCACGTGTTCTGATCCTAGTTGAGATCACATTATGGAGAACCAGAAAGAATTTCAGAGTCCAAAGCTTTTTTTTATTTTTTATTTTTTTGGTTGTTTTGAGACAGGGTCTTGCTGTGTAGTCCAGGCTGCCCTCAAACTGGTGACAATCCTTCTGCCTTAGCCTCTGGAGTGCTGGAATTCCAGGCATGCACCACCACGCCCAGCAGGTCCAAATCTTTCAACTTACAAGTCTCAAGCCAGCTGGCCACAGACCAGATCTTGGCCAGGTTGACAGTATGTTTTGTATGGCTCACACAAGTTTTGTCTCAATTTAAACTGGTTGCCATAAATGAGAACCAAGACGTGTCATATAAAGGTACAAGATCCCAATGATGAATGTAACTGTACTGTATACCTAAAATGTACCAGTAAACTCAAAAAATAAAATAAATGAGTTGCCAGCATTTTATATAAAATGCTGTAATTCCAGCTTCTCTTGATCTGTAGGACAGTAGTCCCCACCAAGCCTGTAGTCCCTGGAGCTCAAGAATCCCTGGCCCTTTCAGACAGGAAGTCCAGTCCCTAGGCCCTTGGGACAAAGCCCCTGTTTTATGCTGACCAAGGACTAAATCTTCATTTTGCCTACTGCAAAAGGACACTAAGCCCATTTTAGGGCCTTCAGTCCAACCAAAAGAACCTAGGGTTTGGCAAGGTGGTGCATGCCTGGAATCCCAGCACTCAGGAATTGAGGCAGGAGGATCACTCTTGAGTTTAAGGCCAGTACTGGGACTACATAGTGAGACATTGCCTCAAAAAAAAAAAAAAAAAAAAAAAAAAAAAAAAAACCCAAGGCTCGTGACAGTGAGGAGACTAGCTTCCTTCCACCAGCAGCTGCTCTGGGCCCTCTCATAACCACCTGTCTTGTCTCTAGCCAAGGCCCAGAAGATTGAAATGGACAAATTGGAAAAAGCCAAAAAGGAACGAACCAAAGTAAGTGATGGCAGACCTCTGAGATTAAAAAGAAAAAAAGGCACATGTTTAGAGTGCACAGGTCCTGCTGGCCAAGCCCAGGAGTCCCAGGCTCCCCACCGCCCCACCCCACCACTTGGAGAGGCTCTCAGCAGGCTTGTCTGCACCCTCTGCACTAGGCTTCATGTCCCAGCCTCTGATGTGAATTGTAAAAACCTCCCACTGCTGTCCTTGTAGTCATTTCCTTATGTGTTCTCTCTCAATTGCAGAGCCCTGGTGGCTTCAACTCTTAGGGCTCATCAGTTCTCTTGCCACCCAGGCCTGAATGTAGGAAACTATTGCCTTCTGAACCTGTGGAGGCCCCAGCCTGCTCCAGTCCACATTTCTTTGCCTACAAAGCTGACCTCACTCTCGTGTCTGGGTGTTTCTCATGGGCCCCATGTCTGATGCCAAGGGAACACTCATTTTAAGGCCCTGAGCACCACTTCCCTAGCAGTGTGGCCTGGATCCCTCAGGAACATCAGTTTGGCTCTGAGGCTAAAATGTTACCTACTGGTTGCTATGCCATTGTGACCAGTCTCATAGAGAAAGCTGGGCATCAGGACACTGGTCCCTCCCACTTCTGGTCAGGCCTGTCCTCCCTTGAAGCAGCCACAGCCCCATTAATTGTCCTCACCCCTCTATAGAGGGTTGCAGGGCCCACATGGGCTGATGGTCCTTGAGGAGGCCTTGGATGGCAGGCCAGGAACGTGGGATCTGGAGCAAGGGGATGATCTGGGTTTCTCATTCTTAACCCTTGATTGAATCTCCCTTCTCTCTCTTTCCCTCCCCCTTCCAAACCCCAGGCTAATTGCAGGGACGTGTCTGCAGCGCCTGGGGACCGGAGCTGTCCTTCCCCTGTGCGGGCGGGCACCGCCTCCTCCTGGGTGTGAGGAGGAGGGGCCTGACCAACTGGTTCTGGGCATGTGAGGCTGAGGGGGCGGGTGGGGGGTGCCGGGCATGCGCAGAAACCGGGAGGGATCTGACGTCTGTTGGGAAAGCTCTTTGAAGAGTGGTGAAAGCCCCTTTGGCCTTCTCTCAGGCACCTTTCCCTCCCCCAGATGCTTATAACCGAGGTGATTTTCAGCGCCTCCTTTATGTAGTGCCAAACTCTTGTCCCCCTGGAGCAGACGGATGACACAGGAAGCGGACACACAACTGTTCAATGGTCTCATTCTCCTCTCTCCCCCTCCAGATTGAGTTTGTGACGGGCACCAAGAAAGGCACCACAACCAACGCCACTGCCACCACTACTACTACTGCCAGCACAGCTGTCGCAGGTAGAAGGCGGCTTCTCCAGCTGCAATGCTGCTCCACTTCCCAGGCATACCAGATAGAGGGAGGGTGTCCCAGGCTTGCCTGGGGTGTAGGCTGCCTCGGGTCTGCACCCATGCTCACTGTGCTCTTTCAGAACCTGAGGTGTCAATACCAGCTTTGGAGCCTAGGGTGGGCTCCAGGCTTCCAGGGCCAGGACCCTTCTTTTTTTTTATTTTTTTGAGACAGGGTCTCACTATGTCATTGAGACTGACCTGGAACTCACTGTGTAGCCCAGGCTGGTCTCGAACTCACAGCGATCCTCCTGCCTCATCCTCCTGAGTGCTGGGATTACAGGCGTGCGCCACCATGCCCGGCTCTTTCCATTTCTGTTCTGAGGGCTTCTGCTTTTGGTTGGTTTTGATCCTGACTTACGTCTTCATTATCTCCAGATGCCCAAAAGAGAAAGAGCAAGTGGGACTCCGCCATCCCAGTGACAACGATAGCACAGCCCACCATTCTCACCACCACAGCCACCCTGCCAGCCGTCGTCACTGTCACCACAAGTGCTAGTGGCTCCAAGACCACCGTCATCTCTGCTGTGGGCACCATCGTAAAGAAGGCCAAGCAGTGATGGGGCCTGCTCCAGGAGCAGCCCAGGGACTGCTGCCCACTGGGAGGCACGACTGTACATTTCAGGACTCGGACCTCCTCCCAGTGCCACCTAAGAGGAGCCTCTGTGACATTCCGGCCAAAACAACATTGTAGAGGGGGCTCAGGGTGCGGTGGACATTCTGTCCACACGCCATTTGGGGTCTCGCCTATTACAAGGGCCATGTTCTTACATCCTGGCATCTCTGTTTTCAGGCAGACGTGAAGCTCAAGAGCCCCTCCACCTTCTCAGCTGGGATTATTACCTCCAGACTGACAGGTGACAGCGCTGTAGTACGCTCGGAGGTGTGGCTCAGGAGGTCACCATGATCATTCTCACTGTCTGCTCTTGGAAGGGCAGGTGGCAGCCCAGGACGGGGTGATGCACCTTGCTCCCGCCGTCTGCTGCCCTGACTCTGAGACCAGAACTCCAGTTCTCGGGAAGAGCCAAGGCCTCTGCTCACTTGGGTGCAGTTGAGCACTCTCCAGACTGCTTCTTAGACGTGCCCAGAATTTGGAAATTGGGCTGGGTACCAGAAGAGCTAGGATGAGATCCCCAACTCACAGGGAGAGGAGGTCAAGGCTGCCCAGTCCCTCAGTGCCCAGCGAATGTGGCCTGCAGGATCCAAGCAGTGGGGAAGATGAATCACCTCCTGCTCTGGCCCAGCAGCAGCTCATTGTTTATGTGAAAGCCCCACTCCTGGGAGGGCTTCTGCCACCCCACCCTTCCCCTGTTGTTATCTCTGCCCAGCAGCAGCCCCTGGGCAGCACTAATGGCCATTGGACTCCTCTGGGACCAGAGAGCTTTCTCAGCCAGTCAGCCAGGTCTGGAGAGGACAGGCTGCCTTTCGTGCTCTTTGGCAGCTCCCTTTCTACTGCAGCGGAAGGGCTGAGTGTCAGAGAAGGAAGCTGGACTGTGAAGAGCTCTATCGCTTCCTCGGGGCCAGCAAGGACTGCGAGATCATCCTGAAATTGTGCCTGGAAGTGTCGCCTGAGGAGTGTGACGGACTATCCCTAAGGTCCCCTAAATAAAAGTTGAGTCTCACTTGCCCCCTTCTCTTCTTGGTGGGACTTTGCAACCCCTGGGAGAGGAACCGCTGCCCATTTGGCCCAGAAGGGTCTCTGAAAGGGGCTTCTGCCATTTGCCAGGGCTCTGGAGGCCTAGGAGGCTGTGCAGCACAGCAGTGAAAGTGCACTTGGCACCTCTGGCCCACGTGTGTCCGTGTTGAAAATGAGTTGTGAGGTCTGTGAGTTGTCTCCTCTGTCAAATCACGGTAATAAAGTTTCTAAGGTCTTGAATTGTCAATGAGATGACTGACGCAAAAGCTTTCTAAACTGTGAAGTGCTCAAGTGTTTGCTACTGGCCACTAATTTCTTTTGTTTTTGCACTGGGGAGAGAAGCGAACTACAGAAATGGACAAAATCAGCCAGAGGCACCCCCTCCCCAGCTGGGGGCTCTGGCGTGGTAGAAGTGGGATCCTGAGGCAGGCCTTGCCCTGCCACCTTTGCTGTCCCCTGGGAGAGAATAGAGGGAGCCCTGGGCTGAGCGTGCTGCCCACTAGAAGCTGGGTCAGTGTCTTAATCTGAAGGGTAGTTTACTTCAGGGTGACACGGCACCACCACCTTGTCCCACTGAGGCTGGTTCCGTGGACACCAGGTGCCCCGGGCACTAGGAGCCCAGGTTGTTTCTGGCCGTCAGAACAACTCTGCCCACATCCTCCGCCCCCCAACCAGGTCACCTCTCCCCCTTTCCATAGTTCAGATCTCAGGCCCTGACCTCGTGATGTTGCACTCTGCACGAATGCCACAGCTCACGTCCGAAGCCCCTCCATGCCCAGTACTACTACCTTAGCTCAGGGTACACCACAGCCGCCTTCCTCCTGTGCCGCCTCAGTCTCCCCATACCCGCCCAAGCCACCAGTCACTGTCCCCCAACTCGCCATGTCCCTCAGTCTGGCAACTAGACAATAATTCATGGTATGTGAGGCACCCACTTATTACCTCTGCCCACACCTCTCTCTGCTCCCTGCTCCCTGTATTCTTCCATTCTTTCCCTACATTCCCATCTTTTTTTGAGACAGGATTTGAGTTGCCCAGGCTGGGCTCCAACTGGCAGTCCTGCCTCAGCCTCCTAGAGTGTGGGGATTATAGGCACAGACAACACCTGGCTGGGCTCAAATTTTCATAATCCCTTTCTGACTTCCCCAGGCAGTCATCTACTTTCTCAGTACCCTCAGCCCTCTTGCCTCTAGGAGAACATTTTACTGCCTTGTGACCGGCCCACATGCTGGTGGCCTAAGATCACTACTGTCTCCTTGTGAGCAAAGACAAAACGGTGCTAAGAAATACAGTGCCCCAGGTCCTGCATGAGGTAAGTACTTGGGTGTGATCAGGGGATAGGGATGGAAGGAGAGGTGAGCTTATCATCTGAAATCGTGCTCACTGGACTCGAAAGGAGAAATGACAAAAAAGTGATAGAGGAAAGCAACACAAGAATAAGATGAAAGAAATGAGGGCTGAGAGGAGTTCAGAGGTAGAGCCTGTGTTTCACAAGTGCAAGGCCCTGGGTTCAAACCCCAACACTACTAAAGCCCTAATGTAAAGTTTGAACTGGAAATACCAGTATGAACTCATGGTTTAAAAATCTATATTTCCTATTTCTGCCAATTGAAAGGATCGGGAAGCAATGCGTATACATGTAGCACCCAGATCTCAGTCTCACCTAACAGGGACAGGACTCAGAGGAGTGGCTGATCTCAGAATCCAAATGGGACCAGGGCAGTTTGTTCCAGAAAGCAGGGAAGACTAACAAGTGCTTCAAAAGGTCAAAGGAAGCCGGGTGTGGTGGTGCCCACCTGTAATCCCAGCACTCAGGAGGCTGAGGCACGAGGATCGCTGTGAGTTCGAGACCAGCCTGGGCTACAGTAGTGAGTTCCAGGTCAGTCTCAACTACATAGTGAGACCCTGTCTCAAAAAATAAATAAATAAAATAAACCTATAGCAAATATATAAATACAGCAAATGTGACAAAATGTTACTCTTGAGTCTAAGTGGCAAAAATAAAGATTTTTGTAATCTTTCAACATTTGTGTTTGTTTGAAAATACTCAAAAAGTTGAAGGCTGGGCATGGTGGCACACATCTGTAATCCCAGCACTCAGGAGGCTGAGGCAGGAGGATTGCTGTGAGTTTGAGACCAGCCTGGGCTACATAGTTCCAGGTCAGTCTCAACTACATAGAGACCTGTCTCAAAAAAAAAAGTTGGGAAGCTGGGTGTAGTACCTGTAATCCCAGAATTTGGGAGGCTGAGGCAGGAGTATTGCTGAGAGTGCAAGATCAGCCTGAGCTATAGTGTGAGTTCAAGGCCACCCTGAACTGCATAACTCTGTACTTGAGGTCCTCTTCCTTTTCTTCTTTTTTGTTTGGGGGGTGGTGAGACAGGATCTTGCTATGTAGTTCAGGCGGGCCTTGAACTTACTATGTAGCACAGGCTGGCCTCAAACTTGTGGTGATCCTCCTGCCTTAGCTTCCTCCTAAGTGCTGGAATTACAGGCATATGCCTCCTCACCTGGCTTTAATCCTCTTTTTTTTAATTTATTTTTTGGGGGGGTGGTACCGGGGATCCAACTCGAGCCCTTGCGCTTGGGAGCAGGCAGCGGAACCACTGAGCCAAACCCCAGGCCCACAGGTCCTCTTTCTAGGAAGGTGCCACAGCCCCCAACCCACAGCGGGCTGTATTATGCTCCACCCACTTCCAATAGCCAGTGGATGGTGGTGGAGTTACAGGTCCTCAGCCAGACAGGGTATAGCTGCTCTCAGCTCTGCCTCTGTGGTCTTCTTTTCCAGAGGAGCTTGGGTACCTGCTGGAGTGGCTCAGATCCACAAGTCACTGTGCTGGACAGGCACACAGACCTTAGTGCTGCAGCCACACTGGGCTCCTTTCACAGTGCCCCAAATCCAGCCGCTCTGAGAACCCAGCCTGTGCAGAACAACTCAGACGCCAAGTCAGCCAGGAGTAGACTGTGGCTTACGCTCCTGCAAGTCAGCACTCCACAGTCAGGCCAAGGGCCGGCAGCGCATGGATCTGACCACAGCGGTGAACACAAAGACTCAGAGAACACATGTGACAGTCCCATTCAACTCAGATGTTCAACTATTGAACATCTGCTACGTCCCAGGGAAGGTGCTGAGGGCTGAAGATGAAAAGATTTGCCTGAGCCAGATGTGGTGGTACACACCTGTAATCCCAACACTCTTCGAGGACAAGGCAGGAAGTTCACAAGTTCAAGCCTGTCTTGGGCAATTTAGTGACTTAGTAAGACCCTGTCTCCAAAACGAAGTGGGAGCTGGGCCAGGGATTTAGCTCAGTGGCACCGCACCTGCCCTGCAAGCACAAAGTCCTGAGTTCAATGCCCAGTGGCAAATAAATAAATAAAGGAGCCATACTTCAAGGACTGCAAGCACACAAGGTATAGAGGTCTAGGGGGGAACACGGGGCATCCATGTAATGTTCTCAAGCATAAGAAGGGAAAGCAGACCGAGTCGGGGAGAGGCCGAGGGGAGGGACCAGCCTTCACAGAGGCTTGGCGGGCTCGAAGCCGCAGGATTTTAGGCATGGGGGGCGCTGCCGGCAGAGGGTGGCTGGCAGAGCCTGGAGGAAGCAGAGCGAACAGGGGTCTCGCAGCTCCTTGACAGGTTCGCCTTGAACCCTGGCTCGCAGTGCCCAGGTAAGTGACAGCAGCACTTGAGCGACTCCGCAGAGGGCTGACTGGAAGGCTCAGGTTGGCAAAGCAGCCTGTTAGGAGCAACTGCAACCACCCACCCCGGTGCCGGCCTCTCCGTGGGTGCTGTTATTCGCCTTGGAAGGAGGTTTTGGGCGTTGTTAGCTCAAATAGGGAGGACCCAGCCCTTGCTTCGCGCTCAGCCTCGCCCACCAGGGGCCGAGAGGACCCGGTGAGCCGCAGGGCAGGAACCTGGGAGCCAGGTCCCCCGACGGCTCGGAGCCAC